AGGATTTTTAGAGAGTGCTGCTGTAAAGTGAAACAGTAAAAACTTCAAATACAAGAAGAAGACTGAGCAATCATAGAAGACAAACACCAACTAGCCAGGTAATTTCAGAAGAGAGAATATGAAAGGATTGCAACTAGCCCAGGAGCACTGTGAGAGCACAGGCAGCACAAAGGGCCTTATGCCAGGTCAGGACCAGGGCAGGATCTTGGGTTCCTCTTTTGGTGAGACTAAGCTATCCATTCTGAGAAGTGGACTTAAATTATACATTTCATCAGAAGCTTGACTCCAGAGGAGTCTTGATCAAGGCAATGCAATATTCAGTCCTGATAATTCTATATTAAACAATTTAATGTCCAATAATAAGCTATAATTTTCCTTTAACAGGGTTTAAACTTGCCTGAGATAGGCTAATAACAGCATCAGGGAGCTCTAGCTATACATTGGCATCCTCTGCTTTCACCAAGCTGCCTTCCTGTGCAAGCATATGGTGCTGGCCCCTATACATCTGATATCATGTCATGTTTTGTTGATACCAAATTTAGCATTGCCATTGCAAAGCTCTAAACACTCTTAATACTCTATTGGCTGTCATTTTTGACCTTTGAGGTCTCAACTTTTTCACTCAGAAGTGCAGGGCTGGGACATCCCGATGCACTAGCTGTGCAGTCACTACACAAAAATGATAGAAGGTGGAGTTTCATCGCAGGGTCTTCTTGTTGCACAGCTATTTATTACCAATAAAGGCTCACTGTTATTAGGCTCCAGATAGCAATTGGTCCTGATTTCAGATATCTCTATGTCCATACCACTTCCACCCTCTCCTCCAGTCTTCTCTGATCACTTAGCATTAATAAGACGAGTCTGCTGCTCAGATCAGTGCACCTGGGACCCACAGGGCAGATGGGAGAGGTATGGATGATAAATGTAGAACGAGGGGCAAAAGAGAAGTGGGACAGCTGTCATGAAGGACAAGGAGGAACAGGTAGAATGGCAAAGCCAAAGAGGGAATGGGTAGCTCAGAAGAGCCAAGAGCTGAGCAGGAAACAGCATGTTCTTACTGTGTGTGGCTAAAAGCCTCAGTTGCTATTTGAGGCAGATAAACCCAGGGTCCAGGATACCAGCTTTTCTTGTAGAAAACTGAAAGAATATTCAAAATTAATTCAGCATTTAAAAACTAATATAGTCACTGTTTTGGCAGTGTGGGCAATTTAGGAGGGTCACCTGACAAAGAGGAGGCCTTGAAAAAAAGTAGTTTTATTCTCATATCATCACCCTGCAGGTATTTCCCCTGGGTCCATCCCACAGCTCTTCTACCATCCTCCCACCCCTGGCTGTCTACAGTAAGATTTATTCAACCAGCCCCTCAGTGCTTCACTGGAAAGCATGTTGTCATTTTTCTTCTATTCAGACAAGCTCATCAGAAGAACTCTAGTTTTAAAACATGGTGGAAATGATTCATAAAAAAAAAAGAATATCCACTGATTTTTCTTGGTTGCAAGTGCCACAGAAGTAAAGTAGTGCTGTATTTGCAGGCAACTTTCAAATGTCTCCAAATTCAGTGCTACAAAGACTGTGTTGCACAAGCTCAGCTGGAGAGGGCAAGGCACAGACGGCAGACAAGGTCACTCTGACAACGGGGAACATGCTTTATATGCTGAGCAGCACTGGGCTGGAAGAAGGCAGACAACAAGGGCTTGACGCATTTGAAGTGTTGCTCAAAGTTGAGTCAAGGTTTCTCCTTGGAGGTACCTGACAGCTGCAATCATCTTCCTGTTTCATGTCAGCATCGATTTCAACTCCAGGTCTCGCAATTCTTCCTGTAATTTATTCAGTTCATAGTGATTCACTACATAGAAACAGGTGGAAAAAATCACCCCTGATGGAGCATCATGGGTACAGATCTGAGATCCAGCCTTGCTATATTGAAAGCAAAGGGAGTTTCATTCCTGTCTTCAGGCAACCCCTTGTCCACTAGGGAAGTCCAAAGTTACAGGTCTCAGCTCTGTCCTCATTTATCTCTGCTAAAATCCAGACTGACATTTCATGTTTACAAGCTTCAGATTACTCCTTAAGCAACCAGCTCCTCTGCTTCTGCGATCAGCATGAGGATAAAAGTAAATGCAGTCCCATGTTGAGCACTGCAGACAGTGAAAATTAGCGGGTGGAAAAGGAAAGCAAAATACAGTGTTAGTTTACAATACTCTTCTGTTTCCTCCAGTGCACAGGTGAATTGGAAATGTATTTTATATAAATTTCAGTGAGATTAGTTACGAAACATGTTCTCTGTCACTCTTAAATCGCATCTTTCAATAAATGTCCCATCTCCTACAGCTAATCCTGGATTTATGAAAAAAAAACAAACCAAACCAACAAACCCAAACACAGAACAAACAAACACAAAAATGCCAAAACCCCAAAAAAGCCAACTGGGTCCAACACTGCTAAAGACATGGAATATTTCTGATTGTATATGCACAAAAGAAGCCCTTCAGTTACTGTGCATATTATATTACCCCTCCCAGAATGTAGGCAGGTATTAGCTGAGTTAATGTTCAGATAGTTTTACACTGTGAGATATTTGAGGATAAATATATATGTTTTTAACAAAAAAAAAACAAAGTTACAATATGCATTTTTATTTTAATTGCCTTAAAATGGGCTTTACTCATCAGAGTAGGTTTCTTACACCTTGCTACAGCAAAAAGTATTTCCTGAATGTGGGATTTTGTAGTGAAGATTAAGGAATGACTGCAGTTCAGCTCTGATTTAAGTAACCAGCAATTTTGTGTCCTTTGTGCTGGAAGATCCCACTTTTCCACTCCTCAGTCCCAGAGTAGCCTATGCACCAACAGACAGCTCTCCTTCCATCTGCCTGCTCCTTGGGGCATGGGGATGCAGTCCTTGGACCAGAAGCTCCGGCTTTTGATCCTCACAAGTTTACCAGGCTTCTGAATCTCTCTGGCAATAAATGAACAACCAGATTCACCTGTGCCAAATTCCAGCTTTCTGAACACCTCCACAGCATGACAAAGCACACTACAAGCCATCATTCCTTGCGCTTGGAGAGACTGAGAGCCAGCAACTCAATTTACAAAGGCAACACAACACAGATGCCCAGCTCCAGGCTACCCTCGCTTGCACAGCCTGCTCTTCCACTGACTACTGACTCCAACTAATGCAATGAAAGGGTAGCAATCCATCCAAGCCAGAGGGCTGCAAGTAACACCATTTTTCCTTTAAAAAGCTTTTTATTTATGAGGGACTTTTCTGCAACAGGTACTATAAACTTAGTATGGAAGCAGACAGTCCAGAGGCTTCAATGGAAGAGAAGGATGGTGAGGTGGAACTCAAAGCGGAGAAAAGGGAAAGGAGAAAGGGAAACTGAAGGCAAGTAAGTTAGGTGGAATCACTGAATCACAGAATAACATGGGTGGACAGGGCCTCTTGCTCACAGCACGTCACTTAGACCAGGCTGAATCAGGATGCTTAGTTCCTTGTCCAGCTAATTCCTGAATACCTCTAAGGATGGAGATCCCAATACATCTCTTGACCTCTGTCCCAGTGAACACCCTCAGGATGAAAAAGCTTTTCCTTATATCTAGTTGGAAATTCTTGTCTCCCACTCCAGTTCAGCCAGTTTACGAAAGCAATGCACTTAAGGTGAAGGATGCTCCCTCTGACTTGTGTATTCCTTCTTTTCTCTCCTGCCTTTTATATAAGTTATTTAATGCTTCTTTTGGCTCTGTTTTTATGCAGTAGCTCTGTTACTGTCTACTTTTCCAATTAGCAAATATCTAAATTTGATTTAAACCTGATAATTATGCTGTGATCTAGCAAAGGCCTTAATTAACCCTATTGAAGCCAATAGGTGTGAGACATACTCTTTAGGACCTTAAAAATCCAGTGTTTAATTGCATCCAATATTGAGAAAGGTGCAAGGAGCTGAAGAAGTGAAAAGGTAGCTAATTTAAGCCACTGGTACTAACAGGACAGGACTTCATGCACTGGATCTCATATATGCCATGCAGACCAGGATTTTCTGCTGTCTTCCACCACAAGAGAAATACAAATATACCAGGTGCACAGGAAGACTCAGTTGGCCACTGCTATTGCTACAAAAGTTTGTCATGGTCTTTGGCTGTTAGAAATCCTGAATCATGATCTGCAGTGGGTATGTTTGTGTTCCCCTTCAAGGTCAAGGCATTTCTAGCTGCATTCGATACCCATGAGTACAATTCCAGTCTCCAGAGGTACATATTCCTGTCTTGCCATCAGTCTTGCCAAACTAAGTAAAATTTAGCCATATTAAAAAAAACATTGGTATATCCTCTGCCTGTACACAGTCTAGAGCTTGGGGAGGGAGGGGAAGAAAAGTCCTTTACATATTAAGCTATAGAAAAGAAATGTCCTACAATGTCACCACAGGAACACTGATGTCAGCCTGTGCTGCCCTTCTGTTTTTATCTTGCCTGTTTATTCATCTCCTAATTCATCGGATGAACGTGCAGAGCTACCAGGAGACTGAAGTATATGGGTCCAAAGTGAAGGCAGGTCTTCATACTTTTCAGGAGTTATCAAGGGCAGGTGTTGTGGCAACCTGCAAGCCAGGTTTGATTCTTTTGCGTTCTTACTGGAATTTATCACAGTCAATATGTCAGTAGTCTTCTTCTCTTTTGTGTCTCTCCCCAGCACCAAATCCTCAGTTCTTGCAGAGCTGTATGACTTTTGGGAAGAACACTGATGTGCCTGTGATTATCACACTGATGATAGCTGCTTAGATGGCACCAGGGAGGAACTGGACTGAAATTTATGTGCCTTATTCTCAAGCACTTTTTTCTTGTTCATGAGAAGCAGAGGGTTTTATACAGGCATGAGAAGCAAAGCAGCCTATGGGGAAATGTGGGAAACAGGCTTAAAATTGTCCCAAAAATAGGCCTAAAATTGTCTTACAAACCTTCAGCCCAGTCCAGAGGACAAAGTGTGTGTTTGTCTTTCTTTAGGGCTTCACAACACCCAGCTCTAAATGTCACTAGCACGCAGAGGAACAGGAGTGACCATAATGCTCAGAAAATTCCCCCATTCGCTACGTCAAACTCTTCCAGTGACACATCAAGCAGCTCTTCACTTTCATCAGAACCAACCAGCCAGATCTCCATGGTTCAGGATCAAACCCTGCTGGACATTGCCTCCATCACTAGATTGGCCCCAGGAGAATCACCAAACCCTCAGCCATTTGAGCAAAGAGATAAACATTTAGCAATATCGTGTCCCAGCCCACTTGGAGCAAGGACTATTCCAGCATCTTGCCCAGCCAGCCCCAGGCTCAGTGTAACACCCAGCTCAGCCAAGCCACAGCAATACTCTGACTCTTCTCCAGTCAGTCCAGGGATCAATGCAGCTTCCTTCTATACCTTTTGTCCTCACACAGCACAAAACGTACAAGCTTCAGCATCAGATCACACACTGACCCCAACAAGGAAAAGCACAAGGCCTCCAGCAATGACTCCTGAAGATAGTTCCCAGTCTCCTGGCTATTCTAAAACTGGATTAAAGAATACAGGAAAGGGTTTTGAATCAGATCTGGAAGATCCTGGTCATGAAAGGTATGTATCCAGACCATACACAGGTTTAAGTCCTCCAATGACTCAAAATGGTTTAGGGTCATTAAAAGCCCCTCACAGAAAAAATTAAATATCCTTTATAACTTAGATGCTCCCAGTGGCTTTTTATCAAGTAACTACCCTGTGCTCTCACTAAACCCTGTTACCTAAGAAGCAAAATACCGTATTTTCCATACATCCATTTAGCTCTCCAGCCCTGATTACAGACCATTCCTGGGCCAGACTGTCAATCTCAGTTCTTCCAGCAGGACACAGTTTTAAGGTGCCTCATTTCCTTCCAGATGAGAAAGCACATGTCTCCCTATGCTAGCAGAGAGAAACTCTGCTGTGTCTATGAAGCCTGACAGATAAGAGCTGGGGATGGTACTCAGTGACATAGCCAGTATCTCCCTTCCCAAACCTCAGGCTCTGTGATTCCAACCCTGGGCAAGCTGGGTGGATTTCACCCCTCTGAGCTTCTGAACTCCACACTGTGTCTGCCACTTCTTTCCTTGGCAGGACATTTGTAACCATGAAGGAATTCCAAGCCATGGAGGAAGAACTAGAGGATGTAAAAGAAGAATTGAAATGCCTGAAGTGGAAAGTGAGACACATTGGTGAGACTGTGCAGCCCTTGGCTGAAGACAGCAAGCGTTACAATGGCTATACCCTGACAGAGCTCAAGGCAATGGTGCAGTTTGAGGATGACCCTTACAAGGCTGCACACAAGATCCTAACTGTGCTCTTCAGTGATGTCTACTTGCTACAGCACTCGGTCACTGAACAGGCCTGCAACTCCCGATCTCTGCCCAAGCCCCAAATAGACCCAGAGCTGTACACAGTGTACTGTGACATTCTGAGGAGCATATTCCCTGGAATTAGCAGCCAGACCTTGAGGGAGGAGACACAACACATGCAGAAAAGCACCCAGAAAGAACTGCAATAACACCAGAACCCCCAACATGTTCTGGAAAGTGAGAAGTGTCCAATGATTTTAGAGGATTAACTGTGGTAGGTACCATTGGTTGAGTCTATCCCTACTAGGTATAAAGCATCTCTAAAGATACTGGTGAGCTCTGAGCCCTTCATGCCACTTGCCCAGTGAGACAGGGTGGGAAGGCATTCTGCATACTTCTGACATTCTAGAGAAAAAAATGCCCCTTAGTGTCTTTTTCAATATATGGACGTTTCCTTGTTTCCAGCAACTACAAATGCTGACAAAAAGATCCAGAGAAGGCATTATATGTCCACGCAAGGGCATTCTCCCAGCCCCAAACAGACCAACAAACCAGCATCTGGGTAGTTTCTATTTTCTAGAGTATATCATTCATTAAATGACATTACTTGTTAGAAAATTGTGCCTGGGTTGTTTTGTTTTAGGTTGGGGGGGGGGGTGGGGGTGGTGTTCTGTTTTGGGTTGGGTTTTTTGTTTGTCTCACAATGCTTTGCACATCAACCAATAATCATAACTTGGATACGCACTGGGATGTGACCTGGGAATGCAGCAAACCACCCTCCTCTGCCCAGCTGCATCCTGGGTTACATGGGAAGAGCACCAGGCACAGAGGTCAGGGGTAGTAGCGCACCCATGCAAGTCTCCATTCCGGGTAACTGGGGCCTGGGGCATAACAGCGTGCAACATGCCCCTAAATCACCAACCCACCGGTGATACAGGTAAAAATCTGTGACCTTCATCTCTCCCAGCCTCTACCAAGTGATTTGACAGACCAGCTGTGCATTCCTGTGACAATGGTGCTGAACGGCTGGGCCATTGCGAACACCCTGGAGCGCCTTCCTCTCTGTCTGGGACCAGCAAAGTGCAATGGATGAACCATAGTTTGTCCATCAGGTTTTGCTCACAAGCCTTGCAGCTCATTTTGTAAAGATCAGGTGAGAGTGGAGGGTTGGAGAGATGTCCTTGTGCCATTTTGCTCACTACCAATGGAAGATGCTGCTTCCCTACCCTATTGGATCCCCACCCATTTCAGACAGTCATTGACACTTCTTGGAAGCAATCACACCCCTGGTCTCAATGTGACAGGTACATCAAAACCCAGAACATGTCCACCCTGCACACTGCTGCTGCTCCCTGCCAGTCTACTGAGAATAGCAAGGTGAGCAAAAAGTAACCTGCGAGTTCAGCCTACCTTTCCCTCTGCTGAGATAAAATCAAATAATTAAGCTTATTCCAAAAATGACAGGAAGGAGGAGGTAAAAAAAAAAAAAAATAGAAAAAAAAATAAAAGCAGCTCATTCCTTGTGTCACCACAGCTCCAGACATCATTGGAGACAGGACACTCCAAGGACATGCTCTGTACCTTCTGTATAAGGATGTTCTGACATTTGTATGAGAGATCCTACCTGTCTTTCAGCATGATGTACCTATACTGTTCTCTACTGGGCTTACATATACAGTTTTTTAAGCTCTTTACTATTAGCAATTTATTTTACTTATGCTCCAATGTGCAGACACAGGCACAGCACTTTGCCCATGTAGCCTTTCTGTACCAACTACAGCTAAAGATGCACAGCCACATCCTGCACATTACCAGGTAGCTACAGTGTCCTGGGTTCAGCAGTAGCAGTCATTTTTCTCCTTCTTAGTAGCTGGTGAAGTGCTGTGGTTTTGACTTTCAGCCTGGGAACGGTGCTGATAACACCAATGTTTTTAGTTGTTGCTCAGTAATGTTTACTCTGACCAAGGACTTTGTGAGTCTCAAGCTCTGCCAGGGAGGAGGGGAAGCTGGGAGGAAGCAGAGACAGGACACCTGACCCAAATTAGCCAAAGGGGTATTCCATACCATAGCACATCATGCCCAGTATATAAACTGGGGGCAGTTACACAGAAGGGCTAGATCGCTGCCCTGGTTGGGCTGGGTATCGGTTGGTGGGTGGTGAGTGGTTGTATTCTCTTCTCTTGTTATTTCCCTTACCATTATTGTTATTGGTGGTAGCAGCAGTGATTTGCGTTACACCTTAGTTACTGGGCTGTTCTTATCTCAACCCGTGGGATTCACATTCTTTTGATTCTCCTCCCCATCCCTCCAGGAGTGGGGAAGAAAAAAGGGGGGAGTGAGCAAGCAGCTGCATGGGTCTGAGTTACTGGCTGGGCTTAAACCATGACATACAGCAAAACACACAGTTGTGCACAGCATACACCCTTGGGGCAGTCACAGTACAAAAGGAAGGGAAAGGTAAAGGATGCTCTCCCCAGCCTGCCAGCTCCCTTCGCAGCTGGGCACAAGGGTGAGGAGGGATAGAGCTGCTGGAGATGCAGTGTCACCTCAGAGCAAATCACACACGCCAGTGAGCACCAGGGTGGATTGCAACAAATGGTCTGGAAGGCTCCATGCACCATGGAGGAGATGTTTGTGTCTCACAAAAGCACCGCGTCTTGCAAGCATTAATGTCCTGCTTTCATAGTTCTTTCATTTGTAGGAAAATGCATCCCTCCCTTTGGTTCAGACGGGTGGAAATAGGCTGGCCCTCCTCTCACAGAACTCACACAGGTACTGCTGCTCCAGACTTGGTTTTATATGACAGACCAGACCCCAGCTCTCAGAGGTCTCTCTTCAGAGCTCACTATAATCCTCATCGGGCAAAGAACTAGGGAAAATGCAATATCAATCTTCATAATTTCCATTGCTTGCCCTGTCTGTCTGTAAAATCTGACAGCTGTTCCTGTGAGAACAGGCTCTGTGGCAGCTCATGTTCATGAGGCCAGACAATATGCTCAGATTATTTCTTTTAGCCTTGTCCTCCTCATGTCATCTAGTAATAAGGTCCTGCACAGATATATGAATTATTTTTATTAGCATTGCATCATCAAGCAATGAGTCCCTTTCAGGTTTCAGTGTCATCTTTTTTCTGGATCAGTTGTGGTATGGATCACTTCCGCCCATTTTAGAGATGTGCATTAGGTCTTTCACCCTGGTTGTTCTGCCTTTTAGCTATTCCAGTGGAGCTTCCAGGTTATTTATATCCAAGTGGAGTTGGCCAGTCTTCCCAACATTATTATTAGGTTATCTCCAACTTCTGAGTCCTACAGACTGTCCCCAGTGCCTTACCTGCCACAGCAGCCCAACTGATCGGCTGCAGGGAATCTGTGAAAAAAAAAGAACAGGGCATACCCATGACATTTGTCCTTTAGACTCCTTGCTTCCTTCTTTTCTGCATCCATACCTTGAAGGCAGCTCTGCCTCTGTAAATACTGTTTGCTCTCCAGTTACTACACCTGCAGTTACTGTCTGCACCTCTGTGACCACCTCCAATACTTGAGTCACTTCTCTGATTTTTCTACAGGGAGAAAAATCCACTAATTTTCTACCAATTTCCCTGAGAGCTTTTTGTTTGTATTCCTGTGCATTCCCAAGTCCTTTCATCCTTTTACAAGGCTTAGCTTTCCTTGCTAGCTTTGCTTACCTAGCTCTGCTAGGGAGAGCAGCACAGCTGTCTTCCCACAGTTCTGAAGAGCTTTTCTGTGCACAGCCTATTTTTTCAGCAGTCACCCACTCCTAACACAACAGGAGGATAAGGGCTGAACGCCTACACCAGCAGAAAGAGCCCTTCTCCTTGGAGAGTAAGAGAACTGAGTCAGCATAACAGAAGTAAGACAACACGGGCCTGAAAGGAATTTTTTTGCTTTCACTTTCAGCACCCTGCACTTGCCAGAAATGCATCCTGTTACAAGCATGCTCTGTCTTAAGACATTAGGTCTTGCTGCCTGGTATTCAGACAGAAAGGCAATTACATTATTCTGATAGTTAAAAAGATTCAGCAATTGTTCTTCTTGGACAATCCATGCTGATTTGCACTGTGCCTGTGTTGCCCCTTAGCCTGAATAAGCCTTCTCTCCAAAATGTTATCACCATCCCTTATATAGAGACAGAGAGAGAATGCAATCAGACACATAGTGAAAAATTAGTCTATAAATCCATGCTGCATTCCATCTATACACCATTCAAATATATAACTCTTATTTTTTTCCCTGAACATGGATTTTCCAGTCTGAAGACCCCATAGCAGATCAAATGATTTTTTTCTTTCTTAACTACAGGCATTACATTTGCTATTCTCCAGTCATACCCAAACACAGAGACTCATTAGTATTACACTTATTCAAGTAACACGCACAGTCTGTTACATATTCATCTCTGCATGTAACCTGAGGACCCAAGAGCCACAGCACAGGTTGTCTTCCTTTGTGTCATCTCTAGGAGCAGATGTCTAGTCAGAAGTATGAGGACATGAATACTTTTTCCAGCCTCAGGTGATCTATAGTTTGTACTGACTGATTGCATTAAATAAGCAGCCTTTTAATATCCACCACGCTGTGGCTCTGTAGGCTTCAGTTGGCAGAACAGTCTACAGCAGATAAGTTATGTTAAACAGAGGGTCCTGATCCATACTGGTCATAGAATTGCTAAATAGTTTAGGCTGGAAAGAGCCTCTGGAGGTCAGCTGGTCCAACCCCTCTGATCAGACAGCATTCAACTAAAAGAAACTGAATAATAAAATATGTGCTGCAAAAACTAAGCTACTGCAATACAACAAACAGCTGGCAACACACACATCCCAGAAAAAAAAAAGAGAAGCCATACAAACAACCTGCACTGGAATCACTTGCAGACCAGATCCACCATGGGAAAATGTGGGGAGTTTCCTTCCCCCAGAAGCACAGTGCTGGGAGATCATCTGGACAGGAGCTCTCCACAGGCTATTCACATCTGCATCAGTGGAGAACAAAGATAAATGGCAAAGTTTCTGTGGCACTGTTTTGGAGGCTGCTTTACCGTGGTTACATCTACATGCATTGCCAATCCATTTTTCAGACTTCTCGTTAATATCTCTAATGCATAATTGCAGTCAAAATCAGTCACTGAATCATACATTTTATGAGCTCATGCTTACCCGTTCATACTGTTAATAATAATATCTCTGCATAATGTGAACACTTGCTGCAAAACAAGTCCACCAGCCCTTCTGGTTTACGACTTAAAATATAGCAGAGCTAGTTATAGGCACCTGTCAACTACTTTAGATTAATTATCAGCACCATCTATACTGAAATCTGAGTCATAGGAGTTTGGGCAGGACCATTAATTACCATGAATCTCTTCTCAACTCTTCCTACCCAAATGCCTCCTTCTTATGATGTGTTCTCTATACATTTATATACCTAGCTCCTCTTTGCACACTCCTGCTCAACTTGACTTAATTTTCACATTAAATCTACAATATTTGTTTCCCAAGGCGAAACTGCTTCTGGAGACCCTTTTCTATTTCTTATATCCATATCCTTCTACAAGTGGTTCCTCTTTCACTATGAGCCCTCCCCCATGGACCTCTCCTCCCA